TCACCTCAAATTACATTCTTCCTCACATTATCCACCCTACTCGTATCTGTAAAACATCAAAAACATTAATTGACAATATCTTCTCAAATATTAAATCAAACAAATATAAAACTGGGAATCTTACCACCACAATCTCTGATCATCTTCCCCAATTTCTAATAGCTTATAATATTCTTAAACCACCACCTAGCAAAAAACTTCTAACCCAGGAAAGAAACTGGAAAAGTTTCAATGAAGTATCATTTAAACACGATTTTCACAAAACTATTATAAATAAAGAACCAAAAATATACCCTGATAACTGTACTCAGTCTCTCGAGAATACTCCAATATTGATTTGTTGCTTGATATTCACGCGCCTTTTAGAAAGCTTAACAAAAAAAAATTTAAATTCAAGATTAAACCATGGATATCTGATGAACTCAAGCACTCTATACAGCACAAAAACAAGCTCTTCAAAAAATATATTAGGTCTAAAAATCAAACAAATAAAACCATATTCCACAATGAGTATAAAATATTTCGTAATAAACTCTAGTCTAAACTCAAAGAAAGCAAAAAAAAATTACTTTGATAATTATTTTACTGAAAACATAAAAAATATAAAGGCAATCTGGAAAGGTATCAAAAACATCATTAATATTAAAAGCAACTCTCACACAACTCCTAATGTAATCGTACATAACAATATAACAATAACAAACCCCTTTGATATTTGTAATACATTCAACAACTACTTTACTGGCATTGGTAGGGATGTCCAGGCAACAATTCCTTCATCCATGAATCATTTCACATATTACTTATCAAATCCTGCTCAAAAATCTTTCTTTATAAAACCTACTGACGAACATGAAATCTCAAAAATTGTCGACTCTTTAGACTCAAATAAAGGTTCTGGACCAAATGGTCTACCAGTTAAAATTCTAAAACTATTAAAAACTGAACTTTCAAGAATTCTTTCTAACATTTTTAATACCTCATTCTCAAGCGGTATTTTCCCAGAAAACTTAAAAACTGCCAAAGTTATACCTATTTTTAAAAATGATTCAAAACTAATAATGTCAAACTATAGGCCGATTTCCCTCCTCTCCAACATTGATAAAATTCTTGAAAGGCTAATGTTTAACCGCTTATACGAATACTTTAATGGAAATAAACTGTTTTGTGATCTACAATTTAGTTTTCGAACAAACTACTCTACATCACTTGCTTTACTAAGTCTAACAGAAAAAATTAAAAATTCTTTAGATGAAGGAACGTTTAAATGTGGTATATTTATTGATCTTCAAAAGCCATTTGACACTGTAGATGTTGACATTCTACTCTATAAACTATCCTACTATGGTATTAGAGGAGTTTTAAACTCCTGGTTTAATCTTTTCTTACTAATACAACTCAATTAGTATCTATTGGTGGAGTGAACTCAAACTTAAAAGATATCAAAGTAGATGTTCCTCAGAGATCTGTCCTTGGCCCTTTGCTGTTTCTTATTTATATAAATGACATGTCTAAAGCATTAAAATTTTGTCGAGTCCAACACTTTGCAGATGACACAAACCTTCTCTACTTTAATAAATCTGTAAAAAAAATCAACAAATATGTTAACTATGACCTTAAGAAACTATGCAATTGGCTTAATGCAAACAAAATTTCCCTCAACTCCAAAAAAACTGATTTAATATTATTTAAAAGTCCCCACAAAAAATTAGACCAACAGATCAAAGTTAAATTAAATCGGGAAAAACTTTGTTGTAAAAAATTTGTTAACTACTTGGGTATAAAGTTAGACGAAAACTTAAACTGGGCTTATCATTATAACGATATCTCTAATAAGTTGAATAGATCCCTTGCCATTCTATCAAAGCTAAGATATTTCATTCAACAAAAAACTTTAAAACCTATTTACTATGCTTTATTTCACTCTCACCTCACATATTGCCTTTTATCATGGAGTCAAAATATGAGTATTATTAATCGCCTATTTATCATGCAGAAAAAAGCAGTCAGAATTATTGAATTTCTTCCGAAAAATTCACATACATCCACACCTTTTAACTT